CGATATCCATCGGTTCGGCGAACGTGGGGGGTGCCGATCGCTCCGTGCCGAATGTACGGTTCGGCGTGAAGCGTCGTGTTTCGGGTTGACCTCGAGTCAGCGCGTCGTATCGCTCGGCAGCACGCACGATGTCTCTGTAGCTGTTGTAATTCGCCGCAATCACCTGCCGCCGAATCTCCATTTATAACCCTTCGCTGTACGCCTGGATTTTTTCGCCTTCGGTCAGGTCGGTGATGCGGTTGAACAGTAACTCCATCTGCTGCGTGTACTGTGTTACACTACTGTATTGCTTGTGTCGGTGTATCTGATGCCGCGCCATGTAGGTTTTATTAATTGGTTCGAAACGCTCGATTAAATCTGCCCGAAACTGCTGCCACGTTTTCTCCCTACGGGCTACGTCGGTGTAGTAAATCCATTTGAGAGCCGGTCCACGTGATAGTGTCGCTGCGAGCCGAATCCTTGCTGCATCGTGTTGCGGGGTCGAACAGCCAATGGCCTCGAAGTAAATCTCGAGGGTGGCCACGAATCGCCGGACGTCAGATCCCTTCGCGCTTGGATCGAACGCCTCCGGGAGCCTCGGTCGTGCTGCTTTGAGGTTCGGCGACAGTGGTGCCATTGGTCCGTGAAATGTCAGTGTCGCCACTACTGCTGGAGTTGTCGGTGCTACAGTCGCTGCGGTCGCTGCTGCTGCGGTGGCGAACCCTGGTTGGCTTGTCAGAAAATCCTCGAGTCGACGAAGCATCGCCTGCGTTTGCTCCATGTCGGTGCGGAGGCTCGCGATGTCGCTCGTAGTCGCGTAGTTGTCGCCTTGGCCCTCCATGCCTGACATCAACGCGTCCGAAAAACCGAATCGAGGGGGAGCGAAAAACACGGAACCGGTTTTACGAACCCGAAATCGATGTTTAAGTGCGTCGCCCCCGCGGTTTTTGAAGACTGGTTTTTAGCGGTCGAAAGAACTTCGCGTGTAAACGGGCTCTGATTACCAAGTGTGAGGATCTAGGATCGAGCTTAGAAAAGAGAATGAGAATTGAGTCGAAATTAATGATCACCTGGGTACAACACGAGGCTATATATAGGCTCGACACAAGGCCCCGTAACCAGGTGTTACGCGAAGGTTCCGCGAGCCGCGTAGCGTCCCGAACAGATCCTTAACAAATTCGGTAGAGGGCAATTCGGTGGCAACCGAAAAAGCCAGAATTCGGTGCACGCAACCTAGCTCGGTGCTATAACTATAATAAAATATAGGAAAGCATCTAGCCTAGGAAATCAAGCAATTCATGCATGCATATGATTATCCTATGCTAGAAATAGCATGATAAAGTAAAGGCAAGCAAGCATAGCTGGCATAAGCCGTCGTACTCTCACATAATTGGCCTTGTGTTGAGACTATATGTAGCCTCGTGTTGTACCCAAGTGGATCATTCAATTCAAACTCTCTTTCACAAGCTCGATCCTAGATCCTCAAACTTCTTGTATCGTGCAGTCTAGCATGATCCAAGCCTTGAACTCCTTTTCGACTATGATGTAGATGCCCCAGCATGCTCGGTCAGTAAATTTTCCGGTTCTCGCCGTGTGAGTTCTGTAGTATACGATGCAGCCAAACACTCGGAGCAGACGCGTGTCAGCTTTTCTGCCCGTACAAGCGTTGTAAGGTGAGATGTTGTTCTTGAGGCTTCGAGATAACAGCAAGTTGTGCTGCCGAACAACATGGTTGATCGTGAACGGCCAATACTTTTTTTGGATGGCAGACTGCTTCGGGATGATATACCTCAGCCGACGAAAACGGCCGCCCAATTTCGCGGTGGCGATAGGACAACATGAGGGCTCTGGTCCTTATGGCGAGACTCTTGTTTGTCCGTTCTGCTACTCGTTGCTGCTAGTGCGCGTATGGCAGAGACACCAGATGATGAATCCCTTTCTTTGCGAAGAGCTCTTTAAACTCGGTAGAAAAGTTCTCCATGCTGTCGTTCGATTGATGCTCAGCTTTCATAATCCAGAACACGAATCAAGCAAAGGCGGGAGTCCGATAGTTGATTTTGACGGCCCAGACGTAGCGCTTATTGGCATCGATGGATATCATGAAGTCGCTGTAATTTTTTTCGAGCGGCTCAATCATTCGTAGCATGGAGGTAAGTCAAGAAAGGGTTTGTGCGCAAGTGATGTAGTCGGGCAGATGATGCACGACGGATCGTCCGTTGTCAATTTGAGTGTATCACCACTGGGTAGGAGTAAGCCGCTTTTGTCGAAGACTTCAGCTTCGATTGAGTTATTGAGAGTGGCGTGTGAAGGATATCCGAGCCGCTGGTGCCAAATTTCAGGAGTAGTGCAGTAGCCGTCTGTCCTTTTGTAATATCTGTTTCTCTCCTCTTCCTCTTGCTGTGGTGCTGCAGTTCCTTTGTCGAGTGTGGCACGTACGTCGACTGCGAAGGCTCGAGTGGACGCTTGCTCTAGGTCAAACTTGGGGATCCCGACGATATTGTTTGTGTCGGAAACGTAGATGAAGTTGTCGATAACTAGCATGAGCTGTTGAGTTGGAGGCGATGTTGTACTGGCCACTCGGAAGCGGCGAGTCCCTCCATTGGAATTCGATGGTAGAGGTATTCATCGCCAGTGACCGAGATCAGTTGAGGTCTTTCTTCTGACGGTGGTGCTTCCTCGGTAGGTTCAAGTAGCTCTGCTGCTTCTCCAAAATCGTACACCATGCTTTCTGACTCCTCTTGTTCTTCCTCTGCAGGTTCGTATGCATATTGATCCGAAAGAGGAGGTCCACCCTAGCTGGTGCTGCGAGTTGCCCACTAAGGGTCTCTTCCCGCCATAGCCCCGGGAGGGAATGTCAGAGCTTCCGCGAACAGGCTTGGTGGTGCCCATCCTCTTGGGATTGCGGAAGTTCTCCATCCGCTCTCCTCTGGTGTTTGTGGCACCCCCTTTGCTTCGATCATGACGCCGGTGTTGGTCCAACCAAGAGTAGTTGTATTTGTATTTCCCCATCCTCATGTTTTTGGGAGTGCTGCAAATGCTGATGCCCCGCTGTCTACTTCTACTTCCATGATGCAAATCCGGTGTCCCCGTGAGCAGAGATTGAGGCAATTGGGACGGCACGTGAACAAAAGAAGCCGTCTGGTCAAGAGCGTTGAAGATCCGTCTCTTTAGGGTGCGACCAAGTTGGTGCTTCCGTGGTAGTTGTTTTTAGTAGGAGCGTCCTGTCGGAGTCTCCATCGTTCTCCTGCGATTCGAATTTCAACTCCTCAACATGGCCTTGTTGGCGTAATTCTTCTTGTAGAAGAGTTCGAAGCTCTTTTTTTTTTTCGCAACTGCTCCGAATCTCAATTCCGTATTTCATGATTTGTGCTGTAGAGATGAGATTGAACTGAAGGTCTGCGACCACCGATACATCTCCTATGTGAATGGGGAAGAAGGTGTCGATCGACTGTAAGTATATTTCGCCGATGTTGTCAGCCTTCATTCGATTGTTGTTGGCGACGGTTATTTCGCATAGTCGTCGCAGCGTCTTCGAGTTGCTAATGAATTCTGACGATCCCACCATGTGTTGTCTGCAGCTTCTGTCAAAATACCACTTGTTAAAGTTATTGCGGCTCTGACGTGCGATGCTCACGATCTTGGGGTGATGATGCGGTCAAGGTCAACATAGAAGCTCGAAAGGTCGTTTTCGTGTGTTGCGCGAAAGCCGGGGTCGAGGGTAGGGGACACGGGCGTGCTTGGCGGCAACTCGTAGTCAGGTGGGAGATTTGTCGGCCCGTCGCTCGAGATTCCGATTGTAGATTCATTGTTTGGACTCAGTGTGATGGGCGTGGTTGGTATGATTGGCGGAAATTGAGCCCTGTTGTAGTAGCAAAGGCCTCTGCGATGCGCCATGCAGGTCAAGATTGTCCCTTCTCCTTTATCTTTGGCCGAAATGCGTGCAGGAGCTTGCGAGGTGCTTGCAACGGTGGGTCGCGACACGGTTGATGTCGCTGCTGGCGTTGAAGGGCGAGCTGCGGGTTGATGCTGATGGCCGGGTAGGTTGATGTTGCGTTTTGTTTTATGCGTTTTTTCGTTTTTCTTTTTCCGGCTTCTTGCAGTACTTGCAGAAGTAAACGTTCTTCTCGTGCGACTCCCCTTCAGTTGCGTCAGCGTAGAAAACTAACTTCTCTTTCTTGTTGTTTCTTTCATTGTATAGGTCAATCTCCTACTGCTCGGAGAGAAGTGTGGAGCAGAGGGCGGCTTCGGAGACGGCTCCACGAGTGCGAAGCAGTGACTTGTATTGTCGTCACTCTGGAGTTAGTCTCGAGAGGCCTATGGTGAGGACCATACCGTCACAGACGTCGCCTCCACATCTCTTAAACTGATCGCACAGGTTTCGGCAGCGATGAACATACGGTCCCGCTTTCTCCCCTTGAGTCATTTTGGCTAATGTCAGTTGGCTGAATAGGTGACTCATTGTCATTGAATCTGTTGCCATGTATGAGTTGCGCATGTAATCCCAAGACACTTGCGCGAGAGCCAGCCCCGTATTAAAGGAACGAATGCCAAGCTGCTCGGAGGGAGAGAGGTTGTGGAGAAAAATTGTGTACGCCAGGAGAGACTCGCGGTAGTATGTTTTTTCTCCTGCTGTATGCTATGCACACATTCTAGTCATGCTAGGCCAGGCGGCATGCACTTTGTGCTGTGTTAATTAGAGTTTGGTGTAGCGCTGTATGCTACCGTGTGCACACATTCTATTCATGCTAGGCCAGGCGGCATGCACATTGTGCCGTGTTGATAAGAGTTTGGTATAGCACTGCATGCTATGCACACATTCTAGTCATGCTAGGCCAGGCGGCGTGCACTTTGTGATGTGTTGATTCGAATTTGGTCAGAAATAGAACTAGAAGAATGATGGCTACGATAGAATGAGGCATACACGGGGTACAAGTAGGAAGTCCATGAGTGCCAGCACCGCTCAATCACTTGGCCTGGTTGGCACAGGCCTCTTGCCCAATCACTGACATAGGCAGACATTGTTACTCCCCATACTCCCACACCACCTCGGTGACCCCCGCCTCCAGCACGACAGCACAGTGCAGCCCCTCCACGCCCAGGTAGTTGCCCGCCGCACACGCCACGCCCACCTGCTCGCGCTTGCTGCGCCGCACACTGGGCTGCCGCAGGCGCTGCCCGTGCATGAAGCGCAGTGACAGCTCCACACGCTCACTCGCCCGCAGCTGCAGCACCACGCGGTGCCGCCCGTGCGCCTGCGGCACGGGGCGCGCGGTGAGCGTGGCGTGGAAGGGGGCGAGCAGCGATGCCAGCGATGATGGCTGTGAGGGGATGCCCGGCCACACCTGCAGGATGCGCACACTGTGGCAGAGGGAAGGGGTGGGGGGTAGGGGATGAGGCTGATGTGCAAGAAAGGGGGAAGTAACGAATGAGACAAGGCATGATGAGGGCCAAGAGTGCGAACGGAAGGAGGCATGTGCGAGGGTGAGGATGATGGGTGGCGAGGATGATGGGTGGCGAGGACGATGGGTGGCGAGGATGATGGGTGGCGAGGATGATGGGTGGCGAGGATGATGGGTGGCGAGGATGATGGGTGGCGAGGATGATGGGTGGCGAGGATGATGGGTGGCGAGGATGATGGGTGGCGAGGATGATGGGTGGCGAGGATGATGGGTGGCGAGGATGCAAGGCAAGGCACACCTGCCGATGGTCTTGACGTCGGGGTGCAGCTTGTCGGAGGGCGGCACCAGCGTGTCCACGTCCTCCTCTATACTCTCTATCAGCGCCCCCGCCCGCACGTACAGCGCCGTCTCATGCAGCGGCACCGCCACCTGCACGGCGGCCCCGCCCTGCAGGAGCACACCGTTGGGCGCCCAGAAGTGCACCCACGCACTGCCCCCAGGCAGGTATACTGTCGCCTGCGTCACCCCAGGCTCGTACACCGGAGCCACCAGCAGGTCCGGGCCGAACCTGTACTGCCACTGCCACTGCGGGGAGGCAGCCTCAGGGTCGCCTTGGAAGGCGAGCGGCATGGCGCAGAGGATGGGGAGACCGTGCGTGGCGCTGGCGAGTGCGGCGGCCTTGAGGTAGGGGAAGAGCGCCATGTGCAGGCGGGCGAAGCGGCGGTAGATGCGCAGCGTGACGGCATCGTAGTCCCACGGGCCGTTGTTGGCCTGCCCGAACTGGTGCATCAGCGGGGATAGCGCGCTGGGAGGTGGGGGTTCGACAAGACAGGATACAAGTGGGGTGGGGAGGAATGGAGAGAACAACGTTGATGAGTGCCTGAACCGGTGCATCAGGTGGGGGAGCGCATGGGGGCATAGGGGGGCACGATGGAGGTGGTGCGGGTGAAGGAACGCAAGCAGGTGACCTCCATCCGGCTCATTCAGCAGGTGACCTCCATCCGGCTCATTCAGGAGGTTGCAAGGTTGTGTTTGCTTCTATCCATCATCGCATCCTCTTTCATCAGTCTTACTTATTTTATACCCTTGCTCTTTTTACGGAATAGCAGACAGTAAGAGAAGGTAAGCACTCGTTTCTCACACAATACATGCACACAATACATAGACAAACGAAACACATGCGCGTGCTCATGTGCTCATGTTCTCGTGTGCTCGCAAAGACCTTCTTGGTAAACTGCCCTCATTCCTGCATCCAAGGCCTCTGTCTCACAAGGCATCCAAGGCCTCTGTCTCACAAGGCATCCAAGGCCTCTGTCTCACAAGGCATCCAAGGCCTCTGTCTCACAAGGCAACCTTCTGTGCAGCTAATATCTTCATCGTGTGTGTCACCAGAATCATTGTGTTCTTCTTTTTCCACTAGTAATAGCAATAGATTAAACGGCTTAATTTGCTAAAAGGTAGATTTATTTTCTTCTCACCTTGGTCGAGCTCGTTTTGACATCCGTGAAGTCCTTTGTAAGAGCCCGCTTGCCCATTCTCCATGCGATTCATGTCTTGCGAATCATCTCTTTTCAGACCTCACTCTTGGGAACCTATGCACCCCCCCTCCCCCGTCCCCGCACCACCCACCCCCCCCCCCCCCCCCCCCTCCCACTCCTCCCCCCCACTTTCCCCACAGCGCACCCGAACTGGCTCCAGCGGATGAAGAGCTCCTTGTCGATGGTCTTGCCAAAGTACCCCGCGATGTCGCTGCCCCACAGGAAGAACCCCGACAGCGCTGCCGTCTGCCCCGCCATGATGACCGACGGGAAGCCCTCCGTGCGGTTCCAGTTGGCGCGCTGGTCGCCCGCCCACACGAACGACCTGCGCCACCCACCCACACCACGTGCTCACAACACTCGCTGATGGCTTAGAATGGTTGAAAAGATACAGTGAAGTATTTGGCAGATCGCCCCAATCTTGGCCTGGGAGAAGATGATCATCGGCCATGGGCTGAGCAGCTATCCATGAAGGCTGTGCTCTCTACTGACTGCCATGCACAATGCATGCACAGTCACAATAGCAATCCAGTTTCCCCACAACCAGACTCTCCGAACCTTCAAGGACACAAGAGTTCTACACTAAGCCTTAATGGTCAGAACAGAACCTTTTCAATACATGGTTGATGTTTCAAAAGAGCAAAGAAGAGATATGATGGTGGCAGCCTACAGCGACAGGACACCGTGGAGCGTGCACGTGGAGGTGGACAGCGGATGACAAGGGAAGGTGGGATGGTAGCTGAAGACCAGCTTGGCGGCATGAATCAACAGTCACCGACTCAGTCGTTGCCGACGGTTTGTGAAAGTGATGAGCGGTGTGGCACTCACTTGCCGGTGCCGGTGAAGCCACTCCTGGCCATGAGCACCCCGTCCCCCTGCAGGTACTTGTCTATGAACGCCCCCATGGCTGCCAGATACACCTCCACGTACTGCCAGGGTGCATGCGAGGATGCACACATGCGAGGATGCACACATGCGAGGATGCATGAATGGCAGAAAGCGGCCAAGGAATGAAATCACAGACAAGCAGTCAGCAGTGAGTATACAGCATGCAGCAGTGAGTACACAGCATGCAGCAGTGAGTATACAGCATGCAGCAGTGAGTATACAGCATGCAGCAGTGAGTATACAGCATGCAGCAGTGAGTATACAGCATGCAGCAGTGAGTATACAGCATGCAGCAGTGAGTATACAGCATGCAGCAGTGAGTATACAGCATGCAGCACGCAATGCAGGGGAGGGCAGGGCAAAGCAGGGCAGGGGGCGGCGTGGCAGGAGGGCGGCTGACCCGCGTCTTCATGACTGAAAGGGGCGAGCCGTCGTGGAAGGCAGCGCCGGGCTGGAAGTAGTTGCCCTCGCCGTCGTCACACTTGAAGCCGCGCGCCGTGGGCCACTGCAGCGTGGCGTTCATGGCCGCCTGCCAGAACGCCACCGCTGCCTCACTCGTGAAGTCCACCCGCCCGCCCTCGCCCTTCCACCACTTCACTATCTGGTGTTGCGCGCATCAAGCCACGAGAACACGCAGGGCCGAACAGGCAGGGAAAAGCAGGCAGCGTAGACGTGGTCATGAGACATGGTCATGATGAGACATGGTCATGATGAGACGTGGTCATGAGACATGGTCATGAGACATGGTCATGATGAGACATGGTCATGATGAGAAATGGTCATGATGAGACATGGTCATGATGAGACATGGTCATGAGACATGGTCATGAGTCGAGTCGAGCCGAGTCGAGAGTTGAGTCGGTTCTTTCAAACTGCCAACTCGTGCCTCAAGTGTTGGAGAAGAGCCACTCAAATCGCGAGTCAGACTGGATTTGAGTCAACCTTTAGGTGTTTCCCAGCCCCGCTCCACAAAACACAATTGGGTTATGATAAGGCATGAAACAACAAAGCTCGGTATCTGGCAGAGCATGCATCGAAAAGCATCCACCTTCTCCTCCCACCTGCCCCCCGTACCATGTTCTTGTACACACAGAAAATTGAGTGGCGGAGGGAAATTGCATGACATGGGGGAAATGGAGAACAGAAATTCTCACAACTCATGTTGGTGACTCTCGAGTCAGCACACCTCGAATCGACACGCCGACTCATGGTTGGCTCGTCTGTCTTCAATCGACACGCCGACTCATGGTTGGCTCATTTGCCTTCAATCGACACGCCGACTCATGGTTGGCTCATCTCTCTTCAATCGACACGCCGACTCATGGTTGGCTCATCTGTCTTCAATCGACACGCCGACTCACGGTTGGCTCATCTGTCTTCAATCGACACGCCGACTCATGGTTGGCTCATCTGCCTTCAATCGACACGCCGACGCATCGACCTTCCCCCGCACGCCGACTCAACTCAAGTTGAGTCGAGTCGAGAAAAGACAATAACCAACTCGACTTGACTTTAGATCGAGCCACATCAAAACTCGACTAGATTAACCATGCCAAGGCAAGGAAGAGCAGGCTGGGAAGGGTGAATTGCGGAGAAATGCACGTGGGAGAACAGGTGGCAGTGCCGGGGCAGGGGGGTGTGGAGCACTGGTGCGCACTGCCCACCCTTGGACGCCCCTTCCTTTTCAGCCACCTCAAAAGCCGTCTCTCTACCCACAATCTTTGTATTGATCAGTTTTTTTGTTGCTTCGAAGTGTGCACGTAACGTGAAATAGTGCCTGGTTTGCGCGATGTTACCACCACCCAGTATGAAGACTGCCGAAGACAAAGCTGTAGAGTGACTGGACACCACCTAAGAATATTTTTTCGTGTCTAGTTGGATTGGCACATTTCCTATCTAGTTACGCGCCCAGAGTAGGATTTCCCTTTGTAGATCTCGAGGCTTGGTTGTTCGTTTAGACCCCTCGCTTGTTCGCTCTTTCACTTGAACTCTCGCACTCATGAAGGCCTAGCGGGTATGAACCCCGTGCAAAGCCGAAACATGCTTGCCTAACTCTAGAGTTTGAATTGAGCTGTACGTTCGGATCTAACTCAGTGTTTTCAAGGGTTACAAATTTCACAAAGTGACTATCGTCTCTTTGCTAGAACGACTCTTCTTCCCACTGCTGCCCTTCTTCCTTCCTTCTTCATGACCACGATCTGTAGCCCGCTCTTGAACGGCTTGCCACCACTTCCCCACTGTTCCCACTGCAACCCACACACACTCTCCCCAGCTGCAAGCCCCGCCCCCTCACCTGCGAGCCGCCCCCCTCCTGCTGCACGAGGAAGCCCTTGCTGTCTGCCTCGTGGAAGATGGCTGCGGGCCCTGCGGTGATGCCGGGCATGTCCACTCGGTTGGCGCGGTTGATGAAGGGCGTGGCCCAGAAGATGTTGTAGAACCTGCCAGCCACAGCGGGGGAGGGGGGGTTTAGGGGGGAAACGGTTGGTGGCAAAGGTGGCGGTGGGAGAGAGAGGGGAGGGAGGAATGTAGGAGGTGTACGGTGAGGGAGGAGGAGTGCCTCGGAGAGAGCATGGTGAGAGAGAGGTGTTGTTGAAGTGGCTGCAAACATGAGGGCAGCTTGGATTGAGCGACTCACCCCAGCTCCTCGAGGCGCAGGAACATGTCGTCCGGGTCGTGGAACTGGAGGCGGTTGATGGCGAAGTCGTTGTAGCCTGTCTCCCACGGGCTGTCTATCAGAATCACCGACCCCGGTATGCCCTGCTGCCGCAGCTTCTCCGCATCTTCCACCACCTGCAGGTGTTGGCACGCAGGGAGAAGTGGCGGCGGTGGGTGCAGTGCTTGCACGGCACAGCAGGCGGCAGCAGTGGGGAGAGCAGCAGAGCACACGCATGGCGTCCACCAGCGCTGCCAGCTCACGCTCTCACCCACGGCACACTGCCATGAACCTGGGTCATTGTGTGACCTCGCCATCATTGGTTCGCACATCGAGCTTCCCTCTTGGGCGTGAAGTTGAGCAAGACAGAATGCGTTACCAAGTGCATAAAGCATGACTCAGATGTGAATGCATATGATGGCATCACACAACAAGCTCCCCCTCTGGCTGCCATCCATCATCCCACATGCCTCAGCTCATACATGCATTCTCAAGCACATCCATTCCAGAGCTCTCACCTGCGAGCAATTGAAATGCACGTCTCGGCCCTTCCAGGGCGCAAAGGCCCAGTCGGGCGGCATGGAGGGGCGCGCGGAGAGGCGGGTGAACTCGGAGAGCACAGCGAGCAGCGAGGGGCCCGCGATGAACACCACGCGCAGCTGCTGCTCCCTGTAGCGGATGGCCTGGTGGGAGGGGCGAGGCACGATGGGGCGAGGCGATGGGGGAGACGGAAAAGGAGTCAGGGAAAGGAGGTGTGAGGAGAAGGAGAGGTAGAGTTTAGTGGATGAAGTGTGGGGTCCACCGACTGCCGTCCAGGCAGCAGTGCTACGCACCCATGCATCACACGTAGGCTTGAGCACCGTTGGGTGATGTGGGAAGAGGAGTCGCAGGAGAGACGGAGGGGGATGCAGGGTTGAGAGGTTGCAGAGGAAGGAAAGTGTGATAAAACAGCCATCCTCTGAGCAGAGGAAGGAAAGTGTGATAAAACAGCCATCCTCTGAGCAGAGAAAGGAAAGTGTGATAAAACAGCCATCCGCTGAGCAGCACGCACGCACCCACCTGTGCACCCCACCCATACCAGCATGTCAGGCTCGTCGGGGGCACCGAGGCTGAAGGAGCCGTTGGCATAGGACTGCACCCACACGCCGTACCCGCTGCTGCTCATCACAAACGGCACCGGCTTGTAGCTGCGCTGCGCCTGGGGGCAGTACGCACACACCATGGGGATCCGGGCAGGAAGGAGGTGTGGAGATGGGCAGGAAGGGATGATGGGCGAGTGGGTTGAGTAATAGCTCGTGTGTAACTAGCTCGTGTGTAACTAGCTCGTGTGTAACTAGCTCGTGTGTAACTAGCTATTTCTCATGTGTGAGTATGCGTGGGGTCTACGTCTAAGTTTACGCTTGATGTCAACTTGCGTTTACAGTTGCCTGGAACTAGTTTGAGCTTTGGGTCGGCCTAGATCTGTTCTGAATGTCGTAGATTGTATGATATTTCCGGAGGTACTTGTGTGTAAAGTATGCGAATATCCGATTTCCAGTGTAAATTCTCATTGTTCCTCGCGAATCAAATCACGCCTGACACTGTTCCTTTGTGCATGATGGTCCTCTTAACAAGAAATGCACACGTGGCATTCCCTGCAAGTGTATTTCCACGCTCTTCACACTCAAACCCAACCACTCACCATCACTCAACTGACAAAGGACATGAGGTGTGCCACAGCATTTTTTTGTCGTAATGTATGTTTTCATTACAGAGTTGGCATCTCGGCACAAATCAAAACGAAATTTCCCACTAGCTGTATTTCTCCCTTCCCAACTATTAATGTCACGTGTAATAATGCTTGTGCAGAAAGGCTTAAAGCTCGCAGATCAAATTGTGCAAGATGATTCATCTTGCTCAGGTTGAGTGCTGGGTGGTTGGGGAGGTGAAGCAAAGTCGAGCAACATCAGCAATCTTGCCCGTTCACTAAGTTGCATAGCAGCTTTAGCCACTGCTATGTAAGCTCCCAAAATGGCAATCCGCAATGTGGGCCACGCGGGCTTTTATGAGTGTCCAATGAGGTCACGTCACATGCAGTCACATTTCAACAGACACAGCCACATATCAGCACGTACAGTTACATCTCTGCACGTACAGTCACATCTCAGCACGTACAGTCACATCTCAGCACGTACAGTCACACCACAGCACGTACAGTCACATCTCAGCACGTACAGTCACATCTAAGCACGTACAGTCACACCACAGCACGTACAGTCAAATCTCAGCACGTACAGTCACATCTCAGCACGTACAGTCACATCTCAGCACGTACAGTCACATCTCAGCACGTACAGTCAAATCTCAGCACGTACAGTCACATCTCAGCACATACAGTCACATCTCAACACGTACAGTCACATCTCTGCACGTACAGTCACATCTCAGCACGTACAGTCACACCACAGCACGTACAGTCACATCTCAGCACGTACAGTCACATCTCAGAACGTACAGTCACACCACAGCACGTACAGTCACATCTCAGCACGTACAGTCACATCTCAGCACGTACAGTCACATCTCAGCACGTACAGTCACATCTCAGCACGTACAGTCACATCCCTGCACGTACAGTCACATCTCTGCACGTACAGTCACATCTCAGCACGTACAGTCACATCTCAGCACGTACAGTCACATCTAAGCACGTACAGTCACACCACAGCACGTACAGTCAAATCTCAGCACGTACAGTCACATCTCAGCACGTACAGTCACATCTCAGCACGTACAGTCACATCTCAGCACGTACAGTCAAATCTCAGCACGTACAGTCACATCTCAGCACATACAGTCACATCTCAACACGTACAGTCACATCTCTGCACGTACAGTCACATCTCAGCACGTACAGTCACACCACAGCACGTACAGTCACATCTCAGCACGTACAGTCACATCTCAGAACGTACAGTCACACCACAGCACGTACAGTCACATCTCAGCACGTACAGTCACATCTCAGCACGTACAGTCACATCTCAGCACGTACAGTCACATCTCAGCACGTACAGTCACATCCCTGCACGTACAGTCACATCTCTGCACGTACAGTCACATCTCAGCACGTACAGTCACATCTCAGCACGTACAATCACATCTCAGCACGTACAGTCACATCTCTGCATGTACAGTCACATCTCTGCACGTACAGTCACATCTCAGCACGTACAGTCACATCTCTGCACGTACAGTCACATCTCTGCACGTACAGTCACATCTCTGCACGTACAGTCACATCTCTGCACGTACAGTCACATCTCTGCACGTACAGTCACATCTCAGCACGTACAGTCACATCTCAGCACGTACAGTCACATCTCTGCACGTACAGTCACATCTCTGCATGTACAGTCACATCTCTGCACGTACAGTCACATCTCAGCACGTACAGTCACATCTCTGCACGTACAGTCACATCTCTGCACGTACAGTCACATCTCTGCACGTACAGTCACATCTCTGCACGTACAGTCACATCTCTGCACGTACAGTCACATCTCTGCACGTACAGTCACATCTCAGCACGTACAGTCACATCTCAGCACGTACAGTCACATCTCTGCACGTACAGTCACATCTCTGCACGTACAGTCACATCTCTGCACGTACAGTCACATCTCAGCACGTACAGTCACATCTCTGCACGTACAGTCACATCTCTGCACGTACAGTCACATCTCTGCACGTACAGTCACATCTCTGCACGTACAGTCACATCTCAGCACGTACAGTCACATCTCAGCACGTACAGTCACATCTCAGCACGTAGAGTCACATCTCAGCACGTACAGTCACATCTCTGCACGTACAGTCACATCTCTGCACGTACAGTCACATCTCTGCACGTACAGTCACATCTCAGCACGTACAGTCACATCTCTGCACGTACAGTCACATCTCAGCACGTACAGTCACATCTCTGCACGTACAGTCACATCTCAGCCCGTACAGTCACATCCCTGCACGTACAGTCACATCTCTGCACATACAGTCACATCTCAGCACGTACAGTCACATCTCAGCACGTACAGTCCCATCTCTGCACGTACAGTCACATCTCTGCACGTACAGTCACATCTCTGCACGTACAGTCACATCTCAGCACGTACAGTCACATCTCAGCACGTACAGTCACATCTCAGCACATACAGTCACATCTCTGCACGTACAGTCACATCTCTGCACGTACAGTCACATCTCAGCACGTACAGTCACATCTCTGCACGTACAGTCACATCTCTGCACGTACAGTCACATCTCAGCACGTACAGTCACATCTCTGCACGTACAGTCACATCTCAGCACGTACAGTCACATCTCAGCCCGTACAGTCACATCCCTGCACGTACAGTCACATCTCTGCACATACAGTCACATCTCAGCACGTACAGTCACATCTCAGCACGTACAGTCACATCTCTGCACGTACAGTCACATCTCTGCACGTACAGTCACATCTCTGCACGTACAGTCACATTTCTGCACGTACAGTCACATCTCAGCACGTACAGTCACATCTCAGCACATACAGTCACACCACAGCACGTACAGTCACATCTCAGCACGTACAGTCACATCTCAGCATGTACAGTCACATCTCAGCACGTACAGTCACATCTCAGCACGTACAGTCACATCTCAGCACGTACAGTCACATCTCAGCACGTACAGTAACATCTCAGCACGTACAGTAACATCTCAGCACGTACAGTCACATCTCAGCACGTACAGTCACATCTCAGCACGTACAGTCACATCTCAGCACGTACAGTAACATCTCAGCACGTACAGTCACATCTCTGCACGTACAGTCACATCTCATCACGTACAGTCACATCTCTGCACGTACTGTCACATCTCAGCACGTACAGTCACATCTCAGCACGTACAGTCACATCTCTGCACATACAGTCACATCTCTGCACGTACAGTCACATCTCAGCACGTACAGTCACATCTCAGCACGTACAGTCACATCTCAGCACGTACAGTTACATCTCTGCACGTACAGTCACATCTCAGCACGTACAGTCACATCTGTGCACGTACAGTCACACCACAGCACGTACAGTCACATCTCAGCACGTACAGTCACATCTCTGCACGTACAGTCACATCTCAGCACGTACAGTCACATCTCTGCACGTACAGTCACATCTCTGCACGTACAGTCACATCTCAGCACGTACAGTCACATCTCTGCACGTACAGTCACATCTCAGCACGTACAGTCACATGTCAGCCCGTACAGTCACATCCCTGCACGTACAGTCACATCTCTGCACATACAGTCACATCTCAGCACGTACAGTCACATCTCAGCACGTACAGTCACATCTCTGCACGTACAGTCACATCTCTGCACGTACAGTCACATCTCTGCACGTACAGTCACATTTCTGCACGTACAGTCACATCTCAGCACGTACAGTCACATCTCAGCACATACAGTCACACCACAGCACGTACAGTCACATCTCAGCACGTACAGTCACATCTCAGCATGTACAGTCACATCTCAGCACGTACAGTCACATCTCAGCACGTACAGTCACATCTCTGCACATACAGTCACATCTCAGCACGTACAGTCACATCTCTGCACGTACAGTCACATCTCAGCACGTACAGTCACGTCTCAGGACGTACAGTCACATCTCAGCACGTACAGTCACATCTCAGCACGTACAGTAACATCTCAGCACGTACAGTCACATCTCAGCACATACAGTCACATCTCTGCACGTACAGTCACATCTCATCACGTACAGTCACATCTCTGCACGTACTGTCACATCTCAGCACGTACAGTCACATCTCAGCACGTACAGTCACATCTCTGCACATACAGTCACATCTCTGCACGTACAGTCACATCTCAGCACGTACAGTCACATCTCAGCCCGTACAGTCACATCCCTGCACGTACAGTCACATCTCTGCACGTACAGTCACATCTCAGCACGTACAGTCACATCTCAGCACATACAGTCACATCTCTGCACGTACAGTCACATCTCTGCACGTACAGTCACATCTCAGCACGTACAGTCACATCTCTGCACGTACAGTCACATCTCTGCACGTAGAGTCACATCTCAGCACGTACAGTCACATCTCAGCACGTACAGTCACATCTCTGCACGTACAGTCACATCTCAGCACGTACAGTCACATCTCTGCACGTACAGTCACACCACAGCACGTACAGTCACATCTCTGCACGTACTGTCACATCTCAGCACGTACAGTCACATATCAGCACGTACAGTCACATCTCTGCACATACAGTCACATCTCTGCACGTACAGTCACATCTCAGCACGTACAGTCACATCTCAGCACGTACAGTCACATCTCTGCACGTACAGTCACATCTCAGCACGTACAGTCACATCTCTGCACGTACAGTCACATCTCAGCACGTACAGTCACATCTCAGGACGTACAGTCACGTCTCTGCACGTACAGTCACATCTCTGCACGTACAGTCACATCTCAGCACGTACAGTCACATCTCAGCACGTACAGTCACATCTCAGCACGTACAGTCACATCTCTGCATGTACAGTCACATCTCTGCACGTACAGTCACATCTCTGCACGTACAGTCACATCTCTGCACGTACAGTCACATCTCTGCACGTACAGTCACATCTCTGCACGTACAGTCACATCTCTGCACGTACAGTCACATCTCTGCACGTTCAGTCACATCTCAGCACGTACAGTCACATCTCAGCACGTACAGTCACATCTCAGCACGTACAGTCACATCTCTGCACGTACAGTCACATCTCAGCACGTACAGTCACATCTCTGCACGTACAGTCACATCTCAGCACGTACAGTCACATCTCTGCACGTACAGTCACATCTCAGCACGTACAGTCACATCTCAGCACGTACAGTCACATCCCTGCACGTACAGTCACATCTCTGCACATACAGTTACATCTCAGCACGTACAGTCACATCTCAGCACGTACAGTCACATCTCTGCACGTACAGTCACATCTCTGCACGTACAGTCACATCTCTGCATGTACAGTCACATCTCTGCACGTTCAGTCACATCTCTGCCCGTACAGTCACATCTCTACACGTACAGTCACATCTCAGCACGTACAGTCACATCTCAGCACGTACAGTCACATCTCAGCACGTACAGTCACATCTCTGCACGCACAGTCACATCTCAGCACGTACAGTCACATCTCTGCACGTACAGTCACATCTCAGCACGTACAGTCACATCTCAGCACGTACAGTCACGTCTCTGCACGTACAGTCACATCTCTGCACGTACAGTCACATCTCAGCACGTACAGTCACATCTCAGCACGTACGGTCACATCTCTGCACGTACAGTCACATCTCTGCAAGTACAGTCACATCTCTGCACGTACAGTCACATCTCAGCACGTACAGTCACATCTCTGCACGTACAGTCACATCTCTCCACGTACAGTCACATCTCTGCACGCACAGTCACATCTCTGCACGTACAGTCACATCTCTGCACGTACAGTCACATCTCTGCACGTACAGTCACATCTCAGCACGTACAGTCACATCTCAGCACGTACAGTCACATCTCAGCACGTACAGTCACATCTCTGCACGTACAGTCACATCTCAGCACGTACAGTCACATCTCAGCACGTACAGTCACATCTCTGCACGTACAGTCACATCTCTGCACGTACAGTCACATCTCAGCACGTGTCACATCTCAGCACGTACAGTCACATCCCTGCACGTACAGTCACATCTCTGCACATACAGTCACATCTCAGCACGTACAGTCACATCTCAGCACGTACAGTCACATCTCTGCACGTTCAGTCACATCTCTGCACGTACAGTCACATCTCTGCACGTACAGTCACATCTCTGCACGTACAGTCACATCTCTGCACGTTCAGTCACATCTCTGCACGTACAGTCACATCTCTACACGTACAGTCACATCTCAGCACGTACAGTCCCATCTCAGCACGTACAGTCACATCTCAGCACGTACAGTAACATCTCAGCACGTACAGTCACATCTCAGCACGTACAGTCACATCTCTGCACGTACAGTCACATCTCATCACGTACAGTCACATCTCTGCACGTACAGTCACATCTCTGCACGTACAGTCACATCTCAGCACGTACAGTCACATCTCTGCACGTACAGTCACATCTCTGCACGTACAGTCACATCTCAGCACGTACAGTCACATCTCTGCACGTACAGTCACATCTCAGCACGTACAGTCACATCTCTGCACGTACAGTCACATCTCTGCACGTACAGTCACATCTCTGCACGTACAGTCACATCTCTGCACGTACAGTCACATCTCTGCACGTACAGTCACATCTCAGCACGTACAGTCACATCTCAGCACGTACAGTCACATCTCTGCACGTACAGTCACATCTCAGCACGTACAGTCACATCTCAGCTCGTACAGTCGCATCTCTGCACGTACAGTCACATCTCTGCACGTACAGTCACATCTCTGCACGTACAGTCACATCTCTGCACGTACAGGGACGTCAGTGAAGCGGTCAAACGAGAACATGGGCAACACATTGCCCTTCTGGTTCACCGCATTGAACCGCTCTCCACCGCCGTACCACCCCGATGCATTGTCTGCTATCTAAGAGGATAGGATGGGGTGGTGGGAAGGGACAGAACGGGAGCAGGAAGCGGTAAGATAGAAGATGGTGCATAAGGGAGCACATGCTGCATAGCAAGGGAGCACATACTGCATAGCAAGGGTGTACTGACGAGTACCAAGGCTTGGCAGCATGTGGGCGGGCATAGAAGAGGAGCGATGAGTGCGCATGGCAGATGCTGCCCCGCCACTTACAGCACCGCACCGCACGAGCGCCACTAGCAACTCCCCTCACCCTCCACCGTCCCTGTCACCTCTTCTCACTACTCCCCCCCACCCCACACACCCGCTGCTCACCCGCAGGGTGAAGTCAACGCCATCGGGGAAGAGCAGGGGCGTGGTGACCTCCCACGTCACCACCACCGCGTGCTCGCTCAGCCTGCTCGCCCTCACCGCCACCGCCGGCAGCGCAGCAGCAGCAGAGGCGTTCTGCCCGGCGGGCTGGGCTGCAGTTGCAGGGGATTTACACGCATGGGTGGATGGCAGTTGCACATGCGCATGAGTGAGTGAAGTGTCGAGTCGCCTCCAAGTCAATCATCGAGTTGAGTCGAGTCGAGTGGAGCCTGATTTCAATGTGGAGTGAGCACACCCACTCTCGCCTTGTTCGAGTAACGAGCCGAGTGTACTACCTTCAAAGGCAGATATTCTGTGGTGATCAGTGACTCGAGTACCATTGGTGATCAGTGACTCGAGTACCATTGGTGATCAGTGACTCGAGTACCATTGGTGAGAACGCATGCGATCAGGCTAGTCACAACAAGGCCAATACCATTCGGCCCACGGTATGCTATTGTCTAGCGTAGAAGGAGTTCTACCTACTGACAAGATGTGTGGAGACGAGAGCAGATGGGAGGGGTGGAGATGAGACGGCATGCATGCGCGGTGAGACGAGAAAACGTATGGCTCTTAAGATGTGGTGGCATCTCCCATTAGGCACTAAACCCCAACCCTCCAGTGTCCCACCACAAGCATTGGCTCAACTCGGCTGTTCGTGTCAAGGTGGAATGACAGAGAGAGACAGTAGGACATTATTGCGATGGTGAGAGGGCAGTGAGAGGGCGGTGAGAGGGCGGTGAGAGGGCGGTGAGAGGGCGGTGAGAGGGCGGTTGTGGTGGAGGCATTGGAAAGCGATGGGCAAAGTCAGGGGCATTGGTGAGGACGCATTGTGGCATGCAGTGCACACACCCACTCCAACCTCCCTCACCTCCCTCCGCCTCCCCGCCTGCCTGCCACGTGGCGCTGCGCCCAGTGCCGTCCACCACGAGCCCCTGCACGCGCGCCCCCCCCACCTCCACCACCGGCAGCTGCAGCGGCTGCTGCCGCCGCTCCGGCAGGGGGGAGTGCGCGGGGAGGGGCGTGGCGGACGAGGCGGGCGGCGCGAGTAGCAGCAGAAGGCCGTCGCCCGACGGGTGGTAGGCGATGGATAGCCTGGTGGGAGAGGCGGGTTGAGAGGGGGGAAGGGAGGGGGAGGTTGGGTGAAGGGGAGTTAGACAGCTGGAAGTAAGAGAGCCAAAAGCGTAGCACACTAATTACCACATTCCCAATTCCCCACATTCCGCATTCCCAATTCCCCACATTCCGCATTCCCAATTCCTCACATTCCGCATTCCCCAATTTTCCCAGTTGCCCGCTGCGAGGCAGCTATTCAGCGTCCAGTACTTGCCACATCACACTCCTCACCACCCACCATTCCCGCCCCTCCTTCTCCCCGCCTTCCTCGCGCCTCCCTCCGCCACTCCGCATTCCGCGATAACCGCATCGCCGCTCGTGCGCGCTCCCCTTCCCCGTCACCCCACCCCCCTGCCTGCACGCGCATTCCCTCCCAGCCCCGCCCGCCCCCGCAACGCCCGCCCGCCTCTGCCGCCACACGCGCAGCCCCGCCGCCACTCACCACTGCGTGCTTGCGCCGACGGCGGCGGGTTTCGCCCCCCGTCGCGCGAGGAGCGAGAGCAGGTACAGCGCGCCGAGCACGGCGGGGCCCACCAGCGGGAAGTACCGCATGCTGCGCGCGGAACCCGCGGTGCCCACCGCTCTCCGCGCGGCGCTGGTCCGCGCGTGCGGCGGCATTTTGCGCGGAACGGTCACGGAGCTGAACGGCTGTTGGTGGCTCGGCAGCGAGCTGCCTGTGCTTGTATCGAGCGGCTTATAGCGGAATCGGAGGGGCAGAGCATCCCCATTCACCATCTCCTATGCGGGCGACATGAACGTAGCCTGTGCGGAGCCGCGCGGTGGTGTGTGTTGCGAGGAGAGGATGCGCGGTGAGGCGTACGAATGGAGACGTGGATCATTCAAAGGGGACGAGGCGCAGTTTTATCACCAACCCGAACCTCGATCAGAAGTTACAAAAATATTTAGGGATTTGAGAAGTTGGTGATATAACTGTACATCCCCCTCGCCCTCCAATACAAGCCAACCCAACACTTGGGAAATGCGAGCGTGCATGTCTTTCCCCCGATTCCACTCACTACTCACGCCGGTAGTCTCCAGCATAGTACTGCTTCTCCCCCCGCCGTCATCCCCCGCGGATTTCCCGCTTCCCGCCGTCTCCCCGCCAGCCTCGTTCTTGCGTTCATCAACCGTGCGCTCGCGCCGCGTCACAAGGCAAGCCCAAGTGAGCAGGCAAGTCAGTGCGGAGCACGCCATTGCACCCAGCACAGCTAGCAAGTGCCGTGACTCGTCAAGAAGCACCTACACAAGTGCGTTCCCAATGACTTCCTCATCGCACCACCACTCCGCGCGCGCCTCATTGCAATCCCGCTGGCACGGCGGCGCGCACAAGGCGGGTTACGGAATCCACGCGGCGCACTCTGGCTCTGCTACCCCTGGTTGCACGCCCCGCCGCCAGCCCCCCCGCGATGCAGACCTGGCCGCGGCGAGCGCGGGGAGGCTGCAGGTTCAGGGCCTCGTGGTGGAGCGGCCCAAACCTATAGACGTGGCTCGGCGGAAGAGTTGCAGCGAGATCTCCGTGGAGGGCTCCGGCGACCGCGACCTGCTGCCGGAAGACGGCGCGCTGGCGCACGCCGAGGGCGCGCGCGGCGGAGGGGCGGCGCTGGCGGGGGGAGATATCGTGCGGCGCATGGTGGCGAAGGCAGGCATGGCGTAGGCGCAGGGCGTGAAGCTGAAGGACCTGGTGGAGGCGAAGGCGCAGGGCGGGGGGAACGTGCTGGGGGAGTTCGGGGGGGAGGCGGAGGAGGAGGGGGAACGGGCGTGGGAGGAGGAGGGGGAGATGGAGGAGCGCGCGCTGGTGGACCTGAAAGGCGATGGGCGCAAGGCGAAGGAGCCAAGTTTTCCTCCGGTCTTCTTGATGACCTTTGTCGTGAGGAGGGCATCACCCAGTCGTTCACGCTTCCGACTTCTCCACAGCAGAGTGGGATTGTTGAGCACCGCGTTGGCTTGGTCATGGAGGCTGCTTGCACCTCCATGATCCATGAGGTTTCTCCCCATTTTCTGTGGCCGTTTGCGGTCCGATACGCCGCTCATAAGCTCAACCTCTGACCTCGTATCTCCAAGCCAGAGACCTCGCCTACACTGCGTTGGAAGAGGAAGGTTGGCGACGCGTCGGCGTTTCGGGTCTGGGGTTCGCTTGCCCTTGTTCGCGATACCACCGCGGACAAGCTCTCTCCTCGCACCGTTCGTTGCGTATTCCTCGGCTTTCCCACCAACGCGTTGGGCTGGCAGTTTAACCACCCGGCCATGCGTCGCGCCCTGTCCTCCCAGGACGTCACCTTTGATGAGTCGGTTTGCTACTACCATCTCCTCCCCCACGTGTCTTCTCCTGTCCCCCCGCCGCCCCTCTTCCTGGATCCAAGTTACCCCCAAGTAGACCTCTACCCCCCCTCGCGTCCTGCTCCCTCAGGTGTGTTGCAGGTCACACCAACCCCCTTGGTTGAGCCGTTGGAGGTCTCCTATGGCCCGGATGAGGGGGGTGACCCTGCTGCCGATGACATTGCGGACTCTCGCCGCTCCCCACACTTGGAGACCTCTCCTGGCTTTCAGCCTCGACCGTCTTCGCCGCCTCTGCAGCCTGTCGCCGTGGACTCCGGTGCTGCTAAAGGTGGTGGCGCTAGAGGTGTGAGCTCTGAGGGTGCTGACGCTGGAGGTACTGATCTCGAGATACTGAGCCTGGGGGTGCTGAGCCTGGGGGTGCTGAGCGTGGAGGTGTTGCGCCTGGCATTGGACAACAACTGCCGTCACGTCAGCAGAAGACTCTCTCGACGCTACAGTTGAGTCTGGGAGTGCTGTGTCTGGGGGTGCTGAGCCTGGGAGTGCTGACTCTGGGGGTGTTGAGCGTGAGGGTGCTGACACTGGAGGTATTGAGCCCATGGTTGTTGACTCTGGAGCTAGAGGCACTAGAGGTACTAGAGCACGAGGTGCTGGGGGTCCTGGTGCTAGAGGTGCTGGTACTGGAGGTACTGGAGATGAAGGTACTCGGGCTGGAGCTACTGGAGCTGGAGGTATTGGAGCTGGAGGTACTGGAGGTTCTAGTGTTGGGGGTGATGCGCAGCCTGTGCAGCAGTGACCGTTTTTCTGGCCACAGCCGCAGTCGTCGCTGCCACCACCCAGCTTGGCGGTTCGTCAGGTTTTCCCTCTTCCATTGGCCCTACTCCTTCCTTACTGGGTCCACCACCTGACTTGTCTCAGCCCCAGTTACTGACTGACTCCCCTCTGCGTGCTCCTTCTCCTTACACTGAGCAGACAGACTCCCTGACAGAGCGTCGTGAGACGACGTCTCGTCCTGCCTCGCCTGTTTGCGCTGTTCGTCGTGCTCGTCGTGCTCGTCGTGTTCGTCCTCCGCCTGTCCCCAGCATGCACACTATGGCAGTTCGTCCTTCCACTATTCCATGGTGTGTTGCCCTGCCGTCTCCTCCAGTGTCCTCTCTTCTTGACGTTCCGGACCCAGAGTCTAACCTTGCTTGTGCTGCCAGTCCGACTGTCACTCGTTGTCTGGCTACACTTGTCATTGGCCCTACCTTGAGTCTGGTGCTGCGTCTACCTCTACTGCTGCCTGCCTGCCGTCTTGACTACCTCACGAGTCATGTTCCAGAGTCTGACTATCCTCTGTTCGTCGGGGGTGAGTTTGCCTTGGCTGTGACGTCCTTGAGGACAGGCAGTTTGAGCTTGAGTGCTTTGTGGCTGCTGTACCTGATCTTGCTGCCATGCTACTTGCCCCTGAGAGAGATCCGGATGCACTAGACATTTCGACCCCGCGCTCTACGCAAAGGCGATCTCAGCTCAGTACTCCTCTCAGTGGCAAACAGCACGTGGATTTTCAGGGTGAAGCGGCCGCCGGGTTCTCCGCCTGTCTCCAGGGTGCGTTACATTGCATGAGGCTTCAGTGAGCAGTAGGGGGTCGACTTCGTCCAGACCTTCTCCCCCACCCTGAAGATGATCACTCTTCGGGTGTTACTGCACGTTGCAGCACAACGTGACTAGGAGCTGCACTCTCTTGACTTCTCCACAACTTTCTTGTAGGGAAGCCTTCACGAGGAGATCTGGCTGCACCTTCCACCAGGCTTCACTGGGTCGTTTCCTAAGGGTACCCAGTGGAGCCTCTGGCGGCAGGTGTACGGTCTCCGCAAGGCGCCCCGTGAGTGGCACGACACGTTGAAAAAAAAATCCTTGGAGGTACTCCAACAACGCTTCTCTGTAGTAAGTGTGTGCTACCTGCATCGTGCCAACCACATCTATCCCTACCACCCCTGCTGCAGCTGTGGCTGTTGCTCCTGTGAATGAACGAATCTCACCTTGACTTGCCGACCTGCATCCCGCCAACCACACTCATCCCAGCCACCCCTGCTGCTGGAGCACCTGCTTTTTTTAGGCGCCTAAAAGGGGTACCTGCAACTGCTACTGCGGTGGTGGTAGCGGCAGTTGAAAGAATCTCACCTTGACTTGCCGACCTACATCCCTCCAACCACACTCATCCCTGCCACCCCTGCTACTGCTGCGCCTACTGCTGCAGCCTCCCCCCTCCGCCTCTCCTCCCGTGCACCCTCCCCTTCTCCTTGCGCGTTCTCCTTGCCCTTGCCCTTCCGCCCCTGCCCCCCCAAGCAGCAGCGTGGTTGCAGAGAGTGAAGCGACCTCTTTCAAGAGCGTGTGGGGCACTGATTTGCCTCACAATATACGCACTTCTACTTCCATCTGTAGGGGAAGGGGATGGGAGGGAAGGAGGGAGGGGGGGGGACGAATCTTGCGGCTCTTGGGTTTGCTCCTTCGACTGCTGACCCATCGTTGTTTCTGCGCACCGACCCTTCTCTGCCATCGTTCTACACCCCCGTGTACATCGGCGACTTGGTCTTTGGTACTGCTGACATTGAGGCACTTGCCCTTGTGAAGGCGAAGCTGTAGAAGAGACACACCTGCACTAACCTAAGTGAGCTGCACAACTGTCTTGGCTTGCAGATCACCCGGGACAGAGCAGCGCGCACCATCACTGTGACTCAGTCACACAAGGTGCAGCAGGTCCTGTCGCGCTTCTGTTTTCGGTTCTCCTCGCCACAAGCCACTCCTCTTCCTACAGGCTACTCGCTCTCACCTCCACCTTCGGACGAGTCCGTAGATCTGAGAGGTCTGTATCTAGAGCTTGTGGGCTGCCTCATATACCTGATGACGTGCTCTCGACCTAACCTCGCGTACCCTCTCAGCGTCCTGGCACACTACGTTGCGCCTGGGAGATTCCGCCCTAATCACTATAGGATTGTGCAGAGGGTACTGCGTTACTTTTGTAGTACATCAGGCATGGGGCTTATGCTTGAAGGACAGGGTCGGGTTGTGCTTGTTGGGCACTTTGACGCTTCTTGGGCTGACGACCAGGAGACTCAGCGGTCTTCACAGGGTTGCACTTTTAGTCTTGGCGCTGGTTCTGTCTCCTGGAGGTCCACCTGCTTGTCTTATAAACTTGGTTCCAACTGTGAGGCTGAGATCTACGCTCGGGCTATGGCTGCAGATGACTGGGTTACGCTGGCAAACCTACTTGCTGATTGACTTGGGTGAGCGGCCTCGTTCTCCTCCGGTTTTGTACGGCGACAACAAGGCCGTGATTGCCTTGTGTCAGGAGCAAAGACTGGAGCACAGAATGAAGCACATTGCTCTTCGTTACTTTCTCGCACGGGGGCTCCAGCAACGTGGTCAGCTTCGTCTTGCTTACGTGGCCTCATAGGCCAACACCGTTGAGATCTTCACCAAGGCCCTAGGGTTTGGTTATCATCAGCGCTTCTGCACTGCTATTGGGCTTGTCCCCACTCTGCCTCACTTGCTTGTCTCTTCACTCGGCCTTGTACTGTGAGATATATATATATTTATATGTCTACATACATATATCTCCATGTTTACTTTTGCTATGTTGTGATCACTATACTGCTTGTGTTATTATAACATTGCATGTGAAGTGGCCTTGTGGCCGCTTGATTGTGCTCGGACTGCGTGGTGATCTTAAGATCCACCCTGAGCTTTGCATTGTTGTTTCTCTTGATTGGTCTTGTGACCACTTGTTGTTCGTGCTATTCCCCACTTTGCCTATGGGAGTGTGTCAAACTATATACATGTTTGTTGTCTAGGCTGTAGTGGGGTAGCCCATAGAGGGTACAACCCATTCGGGTTCGTACTTGTACTCAGCATTCCTATTAGTCAACAATTCCGCTGTTCTCACATTCTGACACCGAGTACAGTTAATATTATGTCTGTTCACCCATGTCATATAGTTCATGTCTGAAAGAAACCCTTGAAGCAAGAAATTTAATTGAACCGATAAGCGGATCTTTCATCGAATCCATGATTTGCACAACAAATAGGTGGGTGACATAATCACACCACATGAAAAGAAGCGCAGTTTGTTGCTGATTTCGTGTCTGTTCTCCGCGCCGAAAAGTGTGAATTTTGCGCTGTCTGGTGAAGATGGGTTGGCCTAAAAAATTATATTGCTAGTTTGTCGCACGTGAACCTGGCGCGAGAACCCATCTTACACGTGCGCAAATTCATGAACATGACGCGCAACACAGCCACCTTGTCAGGTTCTCGCGCACCGCCTGCTGCCAGCTCAACTGCGTGGCGGCTCGCCCGCTTGGCATTTGCAAGGTCGCACAAGTTTGCGCCATTTGCATTTTTTTTTCTATGTTCAAACATAAAAGGCAATCTTGAAATTGACTCGCCAACACCGAACGATCAGACAACGGATCTTTTGGTTACTGAGCAATCAGTCTGGCCAGATTTTGGCCGAAGTACCATCAGACAAGGGTTCAGGGAGGGTCACATTTGAAACGCTAGCCCTGGTTCCTGGGCACTTCAAACTTGAATCTGGTTGTGGCCTTTTGATTGGCTTAAATGACTGGGTTACCACGCCCCAATGCTCATCTGCTATGGTGTAGACTTAGTGCATGGATCCAGAGGTGTCTTTGGTGCGCCATAATGACTAGTTGACTTTGATGCAAAAAAAGGCCCTTTTCAGGGGCGGGGGTGGAGGGAGTGGGGGGAGGGGAGGGGTGGACTTATATATTTTTCACACCAAATGGGGAGTATAACTCAAACATAACGTAATTAAAGACCCCACCTCGTATTAAAGATCCGAGGGTCTTTAACTGGGGAGGGGGGGGGGGAGTCTTTTATCCGCAAGTGAGGCTAAAATGGTGCACTATTTGTAGTTTTGACTCTTTTGCGACAATCGGACAACCATTCTGTCAGACTAATATATAATTCTATATATTGTTCTAGAACTACCTGTAGTGTAGAATACTGTAGTCATATAACTTTCTAGTTGGTGGTGCACCTTGAATGCTCTGTTTGCTATATGTACTCTTGTGCTATAGTGAGCCCCATTTTTTCCCCTCTCAACTTTCTCGACACTCCTCCTTACCCTCAAACTCGATCTACTAATCCTATGGCTCCTAAGCCTACT